TCAAATTACTTCAAATTTGATTTAAGCGTTTCTGCCCTATACACAGACAGTAAATAACAACACCATACTCCTGATCATCGCCACTGCTATCAGGATAAGCCTTGTGATGGACGGATGATGGATCATGTAGGCCCGGTCTCTTATCCTCTTGTGAAAATACCAGAGTAAGTAAGTGCAAATGCAGACTCATGTTTTAGCAGTAATGTAATCCTGCTGATGGGCGGGGTAGGATCTCTGAATAGGATGAGTTTCCAGCCACATGTGACATGTTTGTCAAAGCTGTTTGCAACCTTTCATCTGTTTTGAGCATCACCACAGTTTCCTCTTTAAATTTGATTGAAAATCATTTATAAAAAGCCTTGTAACCTTCTAACCTTCATGACCATGTAGTTGGCAATGTGTCTGGGTCAGTGAGTCTGTAATACACTGCAGCCGGTTTGTATAATAATGTATTTTGCACTTGTGCATTTGAGCTTCAAGCATGGTTTGAAAATCCAATGTATCATATTTAAAATCATTGAATAAAGGTTTTTGAACCTCATATATCCTGCAGAATTACTAACTGCACTTACCAAAACCAAACATTTGCACCCAATTGGCAAACACTTTATTTACAGTTCAAGACACTTTGTCCAACCAACTACACACCATTGTGATAAAGCACACTCATCTTTTAAGGTCGTTCTGTATGTAGAGAATTCTATATATACATTTTTTTCAAGTCTTCAAAAATAAGTGCAGGAACAAAAATATACTGTTGTACTTTTATTTTTCTCCAAAACAAATTGGTGCAACAGTCATGCACAACACATAGTTACAATTGTAAACAAAAATGATGCCTCTGTCAAATACAGTAAATCGAAAGGAAAACTTTGAGGAAAAATCAATCTTTTACCAAAAAACAGAGGAAAGAAAAGTGCTTAGGCTGCATCTCGTCCCCTAGCTGGGTCTGGCCACAGCCCCTCATCAACATTCAGAAGAAGCATGCACCTATAGCCTGACGGTCATACAGCTTCAACCGTTGCAAATAACTCTTCAACTACTTATCCTCCCTCTACATATTCCCACTTGCTGCTATCCATACATCCATTGTTGTTGTGAAGAGTTAACATTTTTACAAAAATAAGTTCTGTTTTTATGGTAATTTGGCATGTGTTAATTGATTCATGTGTGTAGAAATTATAATGGCAGTGTTTTGAAAATGTGTCTTACTTAGAGAACCGTGGGCAGTGTCTTGCAAAACGTACCAAGTTGAATTGCAAATTGGGGAGCTGAAAATGTGTTTAGAGGTTTGGAGATTTAAGCTGAGGTTTTGCCCTTTGAGTGTGAGTTATAACTATGCTTTATGTGTCATTTTAGTGTGTTAGCAACTGAAAAAAAAACTGTAAGCAGCATGCACCTGACACTAAAATAATCTGGCTTGTGAGTGCTTAGGAGGAGCTGGAAAAGGATGCTATGGAGAGGGGATGGATGAAAATGGATGGATGGATTAACATAGATTTATACTGAATTAAATCATAATTCACCTTCCAAATGTAAAGCTGTTTACCTCTACGTTCAGTCCTCCTATCATATATGTTTATACATGTAAATATATATATATATACAGCATAACATGTAAGGCTCCATGCAGCCTAAGAAGTTAACAGTCCTGATAATATGAGGAACGTTACTATTTGTAACAACCTTGATAAGTTCTTGGCTGCCAGTGTAACTGTAGTAGTTTATTTGGACGTTATCATTGCTATAAATAAATATTGAGGTGGACTATAGTGTAAAGCGCCTTTATGAATATGTCAACCTGTTAAATTATACATTAGATTTTAATTGAACAATGTTGTGATAATTATACACAAGATAAGTGTTTACAGTGGGGTTTTGCCTGAGCAATTTTCTAGTATGATCTAGCTTCTGGCTTAAAAACACCAGGTTCACTTGTTGTTTCCACTGCGTTTCTGTAGCTGTTACTTTGTATTAACTTTGTATTGTTGCTAACGCATGAGGGTACATTCAGGTTAACTACAATTTGAATTCCTTGTACAACATTCCTGTGTGCATCACTCACTGTTAAATACTACCAAACTAGAAGTTAAAGGTGTCAGTAAATCGTATAGTTTTGGGTTTATATATTTGTTTGACTGAAGGATCCCCATAGTTGATTGTTTTGTACTTTGGTCTCTGTTTAGGACTGTGTCTCTCAGGTTGAATCTTTGCTAATGTTACTGCAGAAATCCCGGTGTCTTCAAATGCATCCTTAATGGCACTGTCTTCAGAAAGTCTCAAACTTTGTGGCACACTATATTTGATGTCCTTTGTTGTTACATCCTCTCTTCCCTCTCCGGCCTCCTTGTCTTTTTCATGTGCTTTACTGCCGGTTAGTTTTTTTTCAGTTGGGGTTTGTCCTTTCATTTTGTTAGGAGGAAATACGTTTGTTCCTATTGGCACCAATCCAGGGTCAAAAGCAGTTATAGAACTATCAGACTTAAGTGTCCCTGTTCCATCCAAAGGAGTTATGATTTCTGGGTGCGGTCCTGATTGACTCTCATCCGCAGCATCTAATCCAAATCTGCGAACACATGGGATAACGTACATGGGCGTCCTTCTTTGAACGTTCGTAGCTTTGGTTGGATCTTCCACTGCTCTCTCCTCCATTGGTTTGAGGCTTGTATTTGAAGAAAGTTCTTCAATGTTTGGCTTTATTTGACATCTCCCTGAAAGAGCTGCAGTGTCACTTGGATCTTCCACTGCTCTCTCCTCCATTGGTTTGAGGCTTGTATATGAAGACATTTCCTCAATCTTCGGCTTTATTTGACATCTCCCTGAAGGAGCTGTGTCACTTATTCTCACATTTTGTAGATCTATATGACAAACTTCCATCTTCATGTTTGGTATCTTTTCCAAGGTTGGGCTTTCTGATTGTTCCAGGGAATATAGTTTAGGAGAATAATCTACACAGGTGGACCACACAGGACAGCAGGTCACGATGGTCGCCACATGCAACATCACCTCGTCTTCTACCTGTGGAAGAAGCCTACAAGGCTGTGTGAGCAACGTCTCAGTGACAGATGATAGACAGAGCAGCTCTGGATGTCCATATTTGAACTTGATGGTGATACTGGTTTCTTCAGCTATAGTCTGAATTTCCTCATAATCCTCTGTCCTCCAACCCTTACCATCATTATTGGAAGTTTGTTCTGTATGGTTTAATGAGCAATGGCTTTTAGAGTTTTGACCTGATTGGTGGCCCACTGTTTGCGTAATTTGTTCTGCTTTCAAATTATCTTTTTCTTCCATGCTTGAGTTTACTTTTGTCAAAAAGTCTATGGCCTGATCTGGTCTTTGCTGTTTGTTGTTTTGCCCATTTGTAGATGTATTTATATTCAACTGATGTCCAACAGATTTACTTTTCTTCTGCTTTTGTTGGTTGTGTTTGTGAACAGGCAGATCTGGTGCCTTTCGGTGCTGTGTTTCATGAGAAGATACCCTCTGTTTTATATTACTTGTCACCTTGACTTTTGCAGAAGGCTTTTCATGTGAACCTCTTAAGTCAGATCCCCTACATACAGTGGCAATGTTCTCAAACCTCTCCATTAATGAAGACAGGAGTATCCCTTTTCCGATGAGACTTGGTGTGATTGGCTGTTTCTTCAGCATGTTCTCTCCCTTTTCTTTCTGCTCAGCTGTAGCAAACTTGGCCACAATATCTTTGACACTGGCCCCTGTCTTCATTCCTTGTCCTCTTCTAGTCCGGTCCCTCTTGTGGATGACATTCTCACTGTCTCTGCAGTGGTTCACATTAGCTGCCAATGCTCTGCCAGAGCTCAGAGTTCCTACTTCCCTTTGGTGGGTGATGGGAGGTTTAGGTGTGGCGCGTATGAATTTGGATTGGAGGAGCTGGAATGTGGTAAGACGTCGTTGTATTAAGCCTCCTGTTTTTATATCTCCTCCAAACTTGCTTGGCCATCTGTCATTCGGTCGTTCTGTACAGTATCTTTCAGGAATTTTCAAACTGGTCCCGGCACTCTTTCCGTTGGTCGTTTTATGCTCTTCAGATGGCTGAAAAATGATGCAACTTATATGAAGTTGAGTTTGCCCAACTTCCTGATCAGGCACATCGGTGTAACTTTCGCCTACAACATCGAACCATGGCTTCTCTCCATATTGGTTTCCGTTGGTCCTCATGGGCAGATCCTTTGTAAGGTAATGCAGGAGACTCTCCAGAATCCCTCGGAGAACAGGACGGCAGCTGCGGTCTCTAATCAACTTCCTCAACTTACTGGCATCAGGGCTGATACTGCTTTTCCGAGAATCTGGTCTATGGAGAATAAAGGACACGCAAAGCTTAATCCTTGTAGCAATCTGGATTTCAGCATACCTGAATAGTTAGACAGCTGATTGGCAAATCATTAAATCAGTGTCAGTGCTGGATGCATAATTGTAAGGAGGTGTGTAATTACTTCAGTCAGGTAACTTATAACCAACAATGTGATGTCAACTGAGCACATGGTTTTGAGATTTTCAATATTGGACTTAATTCTCACTGAGACTTTTAACAGAACTCAATTATTGTATAAAATTGTTTTTTTCAATTATGTTTTAATAAATTGTACCTTGGAAAAGCATTTTATTGGTCTTGCACTATTTTGAGAATGAACGTAGTAAATAGACTAAACAGGTTATAGAATGTAAAAATGGTACCTCACAATTTTTAAATATGGGCGGTAAAACTAGTCCAAGTGATCTCCAAAAAGCTTGAACTTCAGCTTGAACTGGACATACCAGAATTCCTCCCAGCCCCGCAGCAAAGTAGAGCAGATAACATGTTCAGACTTGAAGTGAGGTGCTCCAGCAGCGTGAAATTGTTACTTGTTATTAGTGCAGGGGATTGCAGAGTAGGGTTTTGAGGCGATCTGGTAGCAAATTAAGATAGAACAAAAGCTGCTCATCAAAAATAATTTTGTAGTTAAGATAAAAAAAAGACAGGCACTTCATGCATGATATATATCTGAGTCCAGTTTAATATTCACATCATATATTGACCAGGAAATTGCTAGTAACTTTCACAAAATAGTACACTAATATTATACCTGATAAGAGCATCACAGTGCAAATAATAGTTTATCACAGTATAAGATAAAAGTAATGCTATTGCACGAATCAACAATCTTATGTGTTCAAACAATTAAAAGAATATAGATGCAAAACTACTGAATCTTAAAATCTGTTAGTTTATTAAAGGTTTGCACAATGTTTTGAAGGAATAGATCCTCCATGACACGACATAACCTTGTGCTTCGTGTTAATGCTGGTTAGCTTTAGAAGAGGGAAAATGCCAGAGAAGGAAATTATCGTGTATTCATTTTGAGAGGTTTACTATTCTCAGTTAAAATAAAAGTAAAAAAAGCAGAATAGTTTTTATTTTCCTCACAGTTCTGTCAGAATAATATGAGTTGGAGACAGGTTATTCCTCCCTGCCATCAGTTGACAAATATGCAACTGAGTGCAGATGCAGCTCCAGAGAAATGACCTCAAATGAAAGCAGTCATGACAAAGGCTGAACCTCAATACCCTAAATGGTCTCCCTTTTGATGTTCCTCTGCCTCAAATTTGCATTATTTTCCAATTCATGAACTGCGAAAAAGCCAAATCAAAGAGTGGGGGGAGTACAGGCAAGGAAAGGACATGGTGTCCCTATAGACTATTAGGATTCTAAGAAAGAGAGGGAAGTGTGGAACAAAGGGAAGCAGCCTTGTGCAGTTCCCCTGATAGCCAGTAGGGTTCAGGCCAGTGTAGAGAAGGATTACTTGTCTATGCACTTCTCTGCAGATGCTGCTTTGTAAAGCTTTTCTCCCAGCTCCTCCAGACGCTCTCTTTTGTCCAAATCCTGGTACAGGCTTGGGGGAACCTGACTCAGGCCGTGCATGAGGCCATAGAGACAACCTGCGATCAGGCCTGTGGCTTCACTTTCACCTACAAAACAGAGCAATTTCACACAAGTCACTGTGAGCAGGCTCTGTGATTTATCTATCTGTGTTTGGAAATGTCTTGCAGGCACTCACCTCCATGAAACATGGATCTTTTGCACAGTTCTGCCCAGTCACCCCCTGCTGCTAAGAGGGAATCGTAGGCTATCATGGGGGAATCATGACCTCTGCGGCCCGCACGGCCCTCTGAGCTCCAGCGCTTATAAATCTGTAAGGATGAAGACAATGCAACAGCGGCACAATGTTCCTGTGAGGGGTTCTGTAAGCTAAACGGTATGTGTATTTTTATGTGAGAGAGAAGTAGTATTTACCTTGTCTGTCTCCTCAGCATCATAGCGATCAGGGAAGGTGGGTTTGTTCTGGTCTTCGTTCTCTATTTCTCTCTCTTCCAGGTAAAACTGCCACTTGGCCTCAAAGTAAAACCAGTTCTCCTGATACTCTGCACACAATCCCACATAACTGGTTTCAATTAATGCTCTCTCAGTAACATGTAAGAAAAATAAAATGTGACTTATACCGAAGAAACACATGTTAAAGGTCCCGTGTCTCGTAAGTGTTTCAAAAGTGCTGATTCTGTGTCTGCTACTTTAGATCAGGGGTGTCAAACTCAAATACACAGTGGGGCACAATACAAAACATCTGTACTAGTCGAGGGTCGGACTGGTTCAATGTTTAATGCAAAACGTATTGAAATTAACTTATTGCACATATTAAACCTGGAACTAACAAAGCTTAAATTATTGCTTATAAAAACAACATTAAACATTAAATAATCAGTTGCATTCATTTCTTATGGCTCTATCTACAGCTTTTCCGGAGTCATTTCTTTTGATTACATTTTCCCACAGGCCAACAACAGCTTCAAAAAAACTATTTCCCTCAAAGAAAAAAACAAATATGCCCTGTTGTCGCAAGAAATAAATTGCAGAAGGAAACATTTAAACTCAGTGTGCTGCTCTGTGATGCACACTAAGCCAGATACTTGGCATCTCATCTTGGGTGCAAGTTCATCAATGTTTGGGCTCAGGCTCTGAGCTGAGGAAACCCTCAGGATGGAGTGAAGGTGTGCGTGCAATATACCGGCGGGCCAGATCTAATAGTAATTAGAAATGATCCTGCGGGCCAAAATGAAATCCACCAAGGGCCTGATTTGGCCCCCGGGCCTTGAGTTTGACACATGTGCTTTAGATGAAAATAAGGTGCCACTCCCCACGCCCCTCTGCCAGATATTTGGTTAAAAAAAAAACGCAATGGTGCTCTAGGAGGAGATTCAGGTGATAAGGTGGGGGGTTACCTTGGTTGGTTATTGGCTAATGGTTACACAACCCAAAAACATTGTGACATCACAAAGTGGCCAAAATCTGATCAGCTCATTTTCAGACTGGATTTTATATAAATGGATCACGAAAAAAATAGAAAGGATATTTTTTCCTGAAACTTTATGAATCTCTTTACACAGAGGCGACACATATTTATGTATACAAATCATGAAAAAGTCGATTTAGCATAATAGGTGACCTTTGATATAACTGCTTTTGTTTCGTTTTTTACATAAGCTTCACTTGACCTGAATAAATCCACCAAGCTGTAAAATGGTGTCTTCGTCCCTCACTAACAAAGACAGAAACAGAATCTAACCTGCCAGGTGTCGTATGGTTTTCCTGCAGTAGTCCTCTGCTCGAGGGATGACCTTCATGAGCTCACGGCCCCAAGTCACCAGAGGTTTCCCCTGGATGGCATAGGATGCAAACAGTGCCGTTGTCAGGGAGCCTAAGAAACCTGAAGCCAAGAGTGACACCAGAAGTCAATTGTTTCTACTGTAATGACAACTACAACTCAGCAAAGTATTAAATCCATGTTCTTGTAGGTAAAGTATCATTAGAAATGCAGCACAATAATCAGCCTGGGGTCTAATCAGATTTGTTTGGAAAGGTTCAAACGAGCTGACATCGTCACCTGTGGGGTGGTTGTGGGTCATCCTTCCAATCTCAATGCTGACCTCCACCAGGCTGTCGATCCTCTCAGGTTGCCAGTATCTCATACCAACACACATGGCTTTTGCAGCCGCCCCAAACCCAGACCCTGGACATAAAGTAGACATATCTTAAGTGGACACTTCCACAACAACATTTTCATAATAGGTAGTGTATAGCTCTAATGATTTGTATTAGACGGAAACAGAATAATAATCACCAACTACTTTGATAATCAATTCATAGTATAAGTAATTTTGACTTTGAGACATTTGAGAAAGGATGGACATTTGGTACTATTTTTAGTAGACCAAAAGATAATTGGAGGAATCAAGAAAAGAATAAGCAAATAAATTGATGATAAAAAGTGTTGGTTGGGACCCTATTGTTGTTATTTTAGAAGAAAATCTCTACAATCTCCAATGACCTTTTTCATTGAAGGGTGTATGCCAGGCGAGCAGGAAGTTGTGAGGTTTGAGATGAACACATCCCTCCACTGTGGCCGGGTCAGGTGCTCTGCCCTGCAGCGACACCATGGCTTCAACATAGAGGCGCACCAGCTCCCGGTACAGGTCCTCCAGACACCAGTAATCTGGACACACAGACATACACACACATACACAGTGACTGAGAGTCAGACAAGATTGGCATGCAAGGCGAGATGAGTGGCGCTGCAGAAGGCTAAGTTTAGCCTCAGCCTGCCACACCAAAGATTAGGACCAGCATGCCTTTAGAGCGAGTGGAGTCACTTCCACACACCATGAGGTCAACAGGGATCCACGAGCAGAGCCCCCAGCCATCCTGCTAGAAATTGTTTATGTGTGTACTGTTAGTTTGTGTGCGTACATGTGAGTGAGTGAGAGAGAGAGAGAAAGAGAGCCTATGATGACAAAATAGTACCATGTCTAATTAAGTAGTCAAACATTTTTGATGAAAGACGGGGATTGTCACCCTCTTGGCTGGATTTAGCTAATTCTGTTACATGGAGGTAGAGCGAAGATATAAAAATGTATACAGTTATCAATAAAGGTGTGTTAAGAGGGAGCTGAGAAAATAATCCTTATTTTTACACATTGTCTTTCTGGATGCTGGTGAGATATTTGACAAAGCAAACACTCACATTCGCAACATTCATTCCACTCCATCATTGTCTGCAGTGCTGATGTGTGAGTGTGTGTGCAGGCATGCTGGATTGTGGCTAAATAGGGCTTCCTAATCTCAATGGATATCATCACTATTTCACAGGACCACGGTCATTGGCTTTGAAGCAAGTCTGCAGCCAAACTTGATACTGGTAGATTATGGAGGAGTCTGACCTGCTATTGTTCCGTTAAGGAGAGCCGAGGGTCCGTTTTTCAAGTAATCTATTTTGGACTTTTCTGTCCCGGCAACACCCTGTGGGGGCTTGAAATTATGTTTGAGTGATATATAGTAAGGTTTCTACTGAGATTATGTCTTTGATGACCTATTGGGTGATGGGTTATGGTATGTAGGCAGGTTTTCCTTTCAAAAATGTTCTGCCAGTTAGCGATTAGCAGCTTCCATTGACTGTACAGAAGAAGCTATTCTGGTTTTAAATGAAAACAGATGTGATGTTAGATCCGTATTTTATTGAACAGATAAAAAAAACTACAGGTTTCAGTTCTGTATGAAGGCATTTGTGTTGATTCTGATTGGATATTCAACATTGCAAAACAGAATAAATCAGCAATTGATGATATAGTCATGTTATGAGTTACACACTGTTATCTGCCTCTTAGACAATCATCAATCCTTTGTCATTCTTGACATCAATCCTAAACGTACCTGTTATGAGTCCTTCTGCCGTGGTGATGTGCATCAGCGTTGCATCACTCAGGGGCCAGTTTTCCGGGTCCAGTTTCTGGGCCCCCAGTCCCCCCAGAGAGGCTAGCTCCTCTTGGATCTGCTTGCCTGAATGGCAGTTTACCCAGCTTCCTTTTCTGTAGCCCAAAGCATCACCAACAGCTCCCAAAACCATGGCAGCCTTGAATTTCTCCATCATACTGGATAGCAACAGAGGTTGTTCTCTTGAATGAAGTGGTCACTTCTCCTGGGATCTAGACGACTCCTGGCACAAACAAAGGCTGAAGTATTACCTCCTTTCAGCTGTAATTCTTCAGCACATCAACCGAACACACGGTCACAGAACCAAGGAAGAAGAACAAATTCCCTTGCCCCAAAACATCCTGAATAACAACTTCGTCAGGCTCTCACAATATGAAGATTTCCGCTTGATATGGAGCTACCACCTGTCTCCACTTCAATACAATCTCTCTTCCCACTCGTGGAGCTTTGTAGAGTTTCTCAGTACCAAGGTGGATGTGAAAACAAACGCATCAAGTGTTTCTTTGTGTTGGGCGGCCGGTAGTTCAGCAGTGATCAGGTGTCTCCTAAAAAGGCAATCCCCATGGCCCCAAAGCCTAAAAGCTGGGTGTTGAGTGGTAATGGGGGCTGGACGCACTGGAAGAGATGCTAATGTAATGCTGGGTGGAGGGCAGGCTCATCAGCTGGTGTGGACCTTGTTGACATCCCAGCTGTCCCATGGGAGGAGGGTAAGAATGGAGCCCCCATTGTTGAAGCTCAACTCTCTCATCTTTACCTCACGTTTAAAAACTGACTTGTTACGCACCTCCTGCACTGACATCTGCTGATCCCCTCTGCAGTTATGTGCAATGCATCCATGACATCCCCTCCCTTGGGTTATTTTATTCTTTGTGACATCGTTTCCAACCCTTCATTTTTGTAATGTATATGTTTTTGAATGTTGCCCTTCACATACTCAGTAACAGTAGACATTACCAGAGGGGACAATGATGATATGATGCAGGAATGCAACCTGATAATGGACAACTGTTACCAAGCTGACATATTTCATTGTAAACACAAAATCAGAAGTATGGATATTATGTTTGATGTATTACTTCCACCTTCTATATCAGTATTATATCAGGGGCTTGGACTGGGAGCTGTAGGGTCGCCGGTTCAAGTCCCCGAACAGACCTAAATATAGAGTGTGGACTGCTACTTGGAGAGGTCCCAGTTCACCTCCTGCCCTGCCGTGGTGCCCTTGAGCAAGGCACCGGACACCCCCCTTCCCCCCTCACTCCCCGGGCGCTGTACAATAGCTGCCCACTGCTCCTAGTACTACACTCCTGGTACTAGGATGGGCTAAATGCAGAGGCCACATTTCACTCTGTGTGACCATTAAAGAGGGTTTCATCCCTCCCTATTCTTCTATATCACTAAAATCAGTCTGTCTAAAAACCTGCTGAATTAAGGGTCTCTTCTGAATAGAGCAAAGCAATAGCTGAGACAAACTCTGTATTATCACAGTGATATCATAACATTATTATTGTTTAAATGTTACAGAATACTGCTATCCAATCCAAATTAACTATTCAGAATTAGGTTTTAAATTAAAAAAAAACTAACAATATTAGTTCCTGATGTTCTTGCTTAATAACAGTTTTGTTTGATTAAATGTACAACATATTTTTCAAACTGAAGATCAACTTTTAGCTGCATTTTTGCATTTGCCATGTCCTGATTTTCAGAAAAATATGAATCTGAGGATATTGATTTCTGCACAACACAACTCTGCTTAACTGTGTAATATACCAACTTGTTAGACAGAGACAAACCTTCACAAGGCTCTTTAAAAACAACATGCTTTATTCACAACTTTCTAAAAGAAAACAATGCTTTTGTGACAAAACATAATATTCTGTAAATACCTGTTTTCTTGCTGGCAACAATAATACTGTTTTGATAAGAATGATCTGCATGACTTGACACAATTGACCAGACATTTGATAAATAAACACGTACCAAATGTACCATGTGAGCAAATTGAACAACCGAAAGAGGTTACATTTTCTTGCTCCAAATCCACAGAGGATACCAGATAATTCTGTCCACAATCAACTGGGAAAAGCTTTCACACCATCTGGCTGTGCTGGTGGTCTGTGCACAACTTCAACGGTCAGAAGGTTATACAGGATATTTGATTCCACCAACACATATGATATATGTACCAGCTGCTACAGTGACTGTTTTACAGTCATAATAAAGCTGTTTCATTTGCCACTCGATTGCATTCAATCAGGGACTAAAATAATAATAAACTCCCATCCTGATCCACTCTGAAAGTCAACTTAACACACCCCACCTTAGTTATGACCTGTGCCTACATATATGCAAACTTAAACACAAGTTTGTCTACTTAAAAACAAAAGGCAATCATTACAACTGTAGTTGGATTTGAGATTTGTTGCAGGGTAACACATCCTCATTTAATAACATGGTTTTATTATAGTGACAATTGGTAGAACTAGACAGCATAGTTAGATGGCAAATAGTGATGCAGGTGCAGGAAGCCACCTGCACTGTGAGAGAGGACGACTGGTACCTGAGCTCTACCTTCTGCCACACTCTTCAGGCCAGGAAAGCGCGGTGCATTTAAAGTTCATGACTGCACTTAAAGAGCAACACTACATCTTGTTTGGAGGAAAAGCATTGCACCGCTAGATGGCAGTGCAAGTACTGTTGAGCACTGTTCTCAAAGTGACATGTTTTGCTCTGTGGTAGTTACTTAAACATGCCACCATTGCACTACAGTCACTAATTCATGATAAGCAACAGACTAAAACTCAAACAGTGCAAACTAACAGTTAAAATACTCTTAGCTCGGATGTAGATGTTCATTTAAAAAGTCTAGTGTGTTAGTGAAGCTACAGTCAAGTCAACTGAGTAGCTGTGTACAGTACTGCCTGATAAAGAAAAGTCCTACAACAGAAAAGTGTAAATCAGTGCAGTTTGCACAGTTGGCAAATCACCTGGCTGATAAACAGTCAATGTGCCAGTCAGTCTCTCTTTGTACAGCAGTACACACACTGCAACATAAAAGTCAAGTATTTAATGCAGAAGCATTTAAAAAATGAGGATCTAATCGATGTGTACGTACCAATCATGATTATAAATGTCATTACCTGTTTTCTCAGATATACATTTCGGTTTCTTTAAAATTGGATCTTTCTTATTCCTATTGGTATACAGCGTGTTACGACTGTAACAACATGATTCTGCTGGTGCTGAGCTTGAAAAGCATGCCGCTCTGTCCAATAGTGCGAATACAAAATGTTGACTTGAACCCTTTCTCTCTGGCTAGTTAAGGTGAATCATAATTTCTCAACTTCTAATCATCATAAAACCAAATGAAAATATTAAGCATTGTAAAAGAGGCCATATGTTTACCTTCCTTAAAAAATGCTCTCACACACACACACACACCCTTACAAACATTAGCTAGCACACTTTCTCTCTTCTCTCAGTATGATTGTAAGAGAGCTCCACACTCGCAATCTCAGTGAAAATAATGTAGACTTCTATGTTTTTCTCCCCTCCTCAACATCAGTGGCACTGCTTCACACTAGCTGACATAAACATGCAGATTTGAACAGATTGTCCCATTCACGATTGACAATGTGAGAGGCCACATCCTACTGCATCTATAAGTTAATCTTCTGCGTGTGCTGAGGGTTCACCGTTACCTTCCCTCCTGACTGTGCCGAGGGTGCAGCTTAGTGAGAAAGTCAGCAGCAGTTCCAAGCCACACCCATTGGTGATGAGTTCTCAGGGTACTCAACATTTCCATATTGCAATAACAAAGTCTGTCTTTGCCAAAAAAAAACATAATTAATCTTTCTCCTGTTGATTCCCCTCCTGTTTTCCTCTTGCACTGTTCCTGGTCAAGGCATCTTATACAGTTTGAGGAACAATCCTAATATCAAGCTGCAGACAGGCTTATTGAGAAGTACTCTCTTTTTGGCTCATTTGTATGAAAATCCTCATTCAAAAAAAGAAGAAAATTGGGAGAAACACAAACTCCATTTGCTGCATGAAGCCGGGACAAACACTATGTCATGTTGCGCTTACTCGTCACAATCGGCCGAGCAAACTCCACAAAGTCGTCTATGAGGACAGGCCACGCCCCTGAGAGAGAGAAAAATAGTAGTTACATCTCAATGAAATCTTGTTATCAACACACACAATGATGGGGGGGGACTAACTGCATTATCAGTAATAAAAGTGTATGTGATCAGCCAGAATTTATCTTTCAGTGTTGAATTAACCACTCAGATGTGTTCACATGACTTTATCCTGCTTTAAAAACCTCACCTTCCTCATCGTAGTTTGACATGTCGTCTGTGATCATATTGCCGAAGTCAAGGAGGAGGTTCCACGTGTCTTTAGGAATGGAGCGTTTGTGATGCTCCTGAATGCAGCACAGTGACAGGAACATTGAGAGAGAAACATTATTACAAAATCAGTAAAAGTCCATTCAACAGCTTTTATGAACCTTAGTGGTTGTTGGCAATGTGTCAAAATGGTGTTTAATGTACTGGTTATTTTTGAGTCTGTAGTGATTCTAGTATTATTCTTCTTCACAGGGACTTTGTAAATGAGATGGACAGAATATGCGGAAGAACTATTCTGAATGTATAAAATGTTCTTGCTTACCACCAGGAAGCGGTTCCAGAGATCCAAAAACTTAAAGCGACCAGTGAGAACTAGATTCCAATAGGCGACAGCCATCTCCAGGTCTAAAACACAAAGTAGATTAAGACTATTACATTCTTTGTCCAGATAAAATCTGTTAAACAACAAGTAACACACATGTTCTTCTATTCTTCATGTTTTGTTCTTAAACTTACCTAAACCTTTCTGGCCTGGGTTTTTGGCAAAATTGAAGGTAAACTGGTAGAAGTCTTTGAACTTCCCAGTGTCTTTCAGCTCCTGCTCTAGTCTGGGAAGGATGGCCTTGAGTTTTTCTGGACTGTCACAGCTAAAGGAGACATTAGGAATCATTAAACATTTTAACAAAATATCAAAGTCAACTTTATTGTAAATCTTCCAGCTTGTATAGATAGAGAGATCGAAATACCGTTTCCCACAATCCCGAATATAAAAACAAATGTTTATAAAAATATGTGTGCAAATATGTGTGTATATATATATATTTGCACACATATTTTTATAAACATTTGTTTTTATATTAAATATTTGGGTATCATAAAAAACAAAAGTTCTAAAAACATCTTTACATTTCAATTAACATGGCAATGAAATGTTGAGAATGAGGTGACTTCTTAATGAAATGTTGTAGATTTCAGTACCAGTGTTGCTCACCCAAGCTCAGCCATGCCATCCAGGAACTCCTTTCTGCTGAACTCGCACTGCGTGGCCGCTCTGAACTTCCATGCCACCACAAGGATGCTCACGCTAGCTGGATCCAGGATCAGGTCGTCACAGAACTGCTGGACGCCATCGATGCCTATCTTGTTTTCATCTTGGGGGTC